TTATAACGTACATAAATGCAGTAACGTCGCATAAAGTACGATATTTTAATTCTATACGACTGAATGAATGTTTTGGTGATCAATGTGTCAGTTTGCCCCCAAGTGAGATAACGAAAAGGTTGTCAAAATATAATAATAAAAATAGAACATTAAATAATTAAAACGATTAAGCGTATTTTTGGTCTTATTCATATTATAGCCCTTTCATGCTGAGGTCATAGTCATATGCTTGCGTCTTTATTACGTCTACACTATGGATTATCCTTTGGATAAGGCGAATATACGTCAACCGCATCCCAATGGATGAGCTGCACTGAATTCTTGTATTTCGTAGACCGTTTGACGGCAAAACTAATAAGATTATTAGATTCAAGTGCCTGGAGATAATCATCTTGCAGAAATACTCATTTGTCAATGCGTACGTAATTGGGTATGCTTTGGATGGATTTGGATATACATTGGTCAACTGCCTCTTTCCAAAGAATGAAATGAACTGTACGTATGTCCTAGGCATTTTGACGATGGAGTTAATACGATAATACGATTCAAGTTCCAGGCCAATGACGAATCAATCACCGTTGCAGCAGATTTCCCAAAAGGCCGATAAACATGATCTTGCCATAAACAGCTTCACAGTGTCTGTTTGGAAAGTACCACAATAATTACAAGGTATTTAACAATTTTCTTGCGATCAGGGCCCGGCCTTGGATAGCGCTATCCAGCGGATAAGTCCTTATCCAGTGGAGACAAGTCGATGCTTTTATCCAATAAATTTATCGACTGGATAAGATTTATCCGTTAAAATAGCGCTATCCAGGCTTCGTACAACCGGGCCCAGAGGTTTAAATTCGGAGATATTCTAAATAATGTTTGGCACTTGTGGGACTTAGCAACGGTAACTAATGGGAGTGGGAAACATGATGAGTTATCATCAAATTCAAGTTGTAAAGTTAATAGAAACAACAACAACAATAATAATAACGAATTAAATAGACCCTTTTCGAATTCCAAATTACCGCTGTGTTTCTTGATTACAGACTCATTTGCACAGGGTTAGCCTCGTATCAGTGTTTAAATATTCACAAACACCAACATGAAGTAAAGAATGCAAATAGTGATTTTAAGGCTCTTTGCAAAGAAGTACARTACTGGCAGCCCTTGATGTATTGCTTACTATCAATCACGTGACTTTTTGGAGTTGACTGGGGGCCAAACAAGCGGTTGACTGGGGGGCAACTAGCGGATGTTAAGTCAAGACATATCAAAATATGTCCTCAAACTATTGTATTTGACTATTTCTGCGACATGAAACCAGAAAACAAGCGATCAAAACAACCTCCAAGATTCTACAAGCCATCAAAAAAGAGCTATTACCGGAAGTGACGTCTATTGATAGCAACCTATAGTACCAGTGAAATCACTTCCGGTTATATTTCATGACTATCACGAGGTACTCTCTTAGCCAATAGGAAGAGAGGCATTGAACACACATTATATAACTTTTCCTACGAGGACCAGTATAAATTCACTGGCGTTATAGTATATATTACTAGTATAGAAATGCAAGAGCCTGTCGGCATTGTCGTTCTTGGTTTAGGTCGTGCTGGATCTATCCATGCATGTAATGTTTTAGCAAACCCTCGAGCGAAACTTCGATGGATCGTCGAAGAAGACGTTCAGAAAGCCAAGAAGTTTCTTGGAGACAGGAACGTGACAGACGTTGGAGTTGTTCCTGTAGCTGACACTAGAATTGCTTTAGATGATCAACAAGTAAGAGCAGCTTTAGTGTGTACACCAACAAATACTCATTCAAAGGTTATTGTGGATTGTTTGAGAGCGGGAAAAGCCGTGTTTTGTGAAAAACCTGTGGCGGAAGATGTTGAATCAATAGGTAAGATTATTTTCCTCAGACCGTGAAATAGTTAAAAGACTAATAGAGGTTATTATATCTTAATTATGTTGTTTTCTTTGTTGTCTATTTGACTATTATACTAGACTAACTAGACTAGATCATACTAGACTAGAATAACTACTAGAAACTGTTTCAAGGTAGAACTGTAAGTTAACTAAAACTAAGTTTAATATAGATTAGACAACACCCACTTGACCAATCAGTGCCCAGTAATTCAGTGCTCTATATCCTGCTGTACAGTAACTAATTAAGGTGTCAGGTGGTGGGGGCCTTGGACCCTTATAATACAGGGTTCTCGAAAATAGTAGTCATTAATTAGTTCTCTCTATAATCACGAATCACTAATATTAGGCCTTGTGTTTCAAGGTATCATTTATTTGCATTCTCCATATTATACAGTAGAATATCTAGACAATGCTAATTAATAAACCTGTATTTTACCCTATTACTACTTTAGTTAAGCTAAGGTTTTTTGGCCGGCATATCCACATGGCATATATATTAAGTAGACTGATCATTAAATGTAGAGGTTATTAGACATATGTAGTGAGGGTGGAGTGTCATATGCATAACAATTTATTGACCACAGGCAAGGGTAACAACTCCTTATATTGATTGAAACAAAAGTTGTATTTATTAGTTTGTAAGTATATCATGATCACTTCTCCACCAGGGACATAATATTTTAGTGTCTTTGCAGAAATCCCCTTCTTGTATACAGTATCTAGGGAATGTATCTAGGGATCAATCAGCTAATCTGAAATGTTTTATCATGAATGCGAATGGATATCATATTTTGGACTCCCATATAACTTTGGTGTGTTATTAAGTCTATAAGTTCCAGGATATGTTTAAAAAGGATAGCTAGGCAGATTTATATGGTGGTCTATATCTAGAATTACCTTTAAAAAATAAAAGTGCAAAATCTGGTAAAAAAAAATGCACACATTCTTAATTTGGGTGGCTAATGAAGTTGATTCCTTTGACCTAGAATTGTTTCCTGGCTAGCTTTCACCCATGGTACATGTAAGTTTGCTATAAATTTAGAGCCCTATGCACTTCCAATTCAAGACCAATTTGTCATCAGAATAAAGGCTTATAGCAATAGAGCGATTCCATCAATCAAATACTGTAAATGTGATTAATGGTAGTCCAATTGCCTGATTTCCAGCCCTGTTACTACTTTCTGCAATGAAAACAATGGTAATAAGTCACTAATTAAAAGCTGTTCTAAAAGTGTCATATAATATATAACACATTGTAAAATGTTTCTAATAGTAAGGAAAAAAGTAAAGAAGGTCAATTATAACTATGATAACTATGAATTAGTCATACATCCACTGATGACGGCAGAGGTCACTGCCGAAACACTATGTTAAACTTAAAAGTGTAGTTCTGTTCTTAAAATGCTTAACTTCACTGATCACATTCAGACTATTTTGAACTATGATATATTTTTTCTTACAGTAAGGACTCGCAATCAACCCATGAATATTTCAACTTTTTATTAGGTTGTTATTTTCTGAACTTTCTACTTTTTCAAACCCTGTAAAATGAAGAATTGAGTTAATGTAAATACACAGATTGATCAAAATATATCTTATTTTCAATTGATTCCCTCAAGAAGAGATGATTTTAAAATATTGCACTTAAAAAAGTGACAAATTAAAATACTTAATTAAAGTGTTAATAGTTCAATTTTAGCTCAGTAGATTTTTAACTTTTGTATTTTAGCATCTAAGTTTGTACAATAAGTTAATAATTTCTTCATAAGAGGACAAGGACCTCACTGAAAACCAAATTTGTGAAGAGTACATCATTCTGAGAGTCAGATTAATTATTATCATTATCGTCATCATTGATCAGCATCATTATCATGATTGTGTTTTAGTACAATTTTAGACTTGAATRTCAGAGAAACGAATACATTCAATATAAAAAAAATCATTTTGGTACTTCTTAAATTCCACTCTTGCAAACTTTGGGAGACCATAATCGATCACTGCTCAAGCAGCGACAACCATCTCAGAATCACTGGTCACTCAACCGATTACAGTGTGCGAAACTCAATATCCAAGTCTAAAATTATACTAATAGTTAAGATAAACTTTAAATTATTGTATTTTTTAAATTAAAAGTAAAAACAATAATAATAATAATGAAAACTTTATTTTGATGCTTTTTGTTTTACAATTGCAAATCTTGCTGGTAACTGGGTAATTTGCTATTAGCTACTTGAATTAAAAATAAATTCAGTTTTACATTATTTAATGAAATGAAAGGCTTATAGCTCAAGATATGTACTTGGATACATACAAGGAGATGAGAGAGAGAAAAAAAAACAATAATAGTAAGAAATGAAATGATATGAAGATAAATAAAAATTCATTAAATCAGGATTTTCCCAGTTTTTGTTAGGTTTACAAAAAATGAAATATGTGGATCTAATGGATCTAATTAATAATAATAATAATAAGAGATAATAATGATAATAATAATTACTTCATTATTATTATCCTGCTTATAAAAAAACTGTCAATAAATAAATAATGATTGATATAAGCTAGCTTGCTTGCACAGTTAAATAGATTATTTATCCATGTACTGTAGCACATGCTTAAATATTTTTTTCTTAATTGTATGATAATTACTATACTTTCTTAAGTGTTACCAAGTGTACACACAGGAGTTACACCTCCCTCTTACGCCCAGCCCTATGTTACAAAGTTGTTTGATCAGAAAAAGATTTCTTAAGCTTTCCCCTAACAACCATTTCGCTTCCGAGGTGTTCTTAAADTTATATAAATAGAGATTACTTCATGATTATAGTACACTCAACAAAATTACTCGACTCTGATTGAAAGATATAACTAGCTAAAAACTAGTGTGAGCTGCGTCGGTGTTTCTAATGAAACAGTAATGATGAAAAGGTAAATTATACACCGTGAAAAGATGAAAAAACTTACTGACGTTTCGGACGCTAGTCCTTCGTCGGAGTAAAAAAGGGCTTTTCACCTTTTCATCATTACCGACTCTGATTGGTCGAGAGGAGTACAATTATAGCGTTAATTGTACTCTGTAGGAGTACCGAATTAAGTCGCTATGGCAACACGGCCAAAACAATGTCAAAACAATTATTTTCCATCATTTTGTACTTTAAAAACATATAAATAAATTTTTAAAGCCGTAAGAACTAATCTTTTTCATGCATTTCAGTTGCGCGATGGACTGAAAATCGGCCGCCAAATAGACAAAGATGAAGGGCGTCGCTTCACATTTTTCACTGAAATTTTGTTGAGTGAACTATAAACAAAAAATCTCACGATATTCTCGTTACCAAGACTATTTATTAATCACTTGTCACTCGATCACCTTGGTACATAACATATAAACATTGGTCTTAATTCTTGTTTTATTCCCTTTATTAAAATAATAAGAAAAATCAATAAGGTCTATAACTTAGGGACTGTTCATACTTTATCAGGTGGGGGGGGGAGGGGGGTTATTCACTTGCTAGCCCATATTAGAAATTTGACTGCAGCAAGTGTTCCCTGTATTACCCTTGGTCACTGTTTGGGGTTTGCTTTGATTGATTTGGCTGAGGAAGAATCATGGTTTAAAATAATGGCAGAACATCACACAATATCCAGCCAGAACTGGATTTGTCCAGTCAAATCCTTTCCTTGCCAGTCATTCCCACCTGTCACGTCTAGCCAGAAATGTGTTTCATTAAAGAAATGGACCCTCCCTTGTTTTCCACTGTGTTTACTGGTAAAGCACTGTGTGACTCAGTTTGTATGTTGTCCTTCTGCTTCTGAGTGTGATTTGATGAAACCCTAAAATACCACCAGCTACTCCGTACTGACTGGTTAAAATGAATGATCCTTAAGCAGATATTCTTGTACAGAAGTACTGTAAATAAGATCTATGAGATGAATGCATATTTCTAAATGAATACAAATTTCTAAAATATCGAAATGAAATATTAATTTACAAATTATTATTGTCTCTTTAATTCAGTATCATGTTACGAGGAAGCTGACCGTCTTGGCCTGTTGCTATTTTGTTCCTATAACCGTCGATTTGATCCTGGCCATGGAACTGTAATTAAAAAAGCAAGAACAGGAGCTCTTGGTACTATCCACTCAATCATAACTAAAAGCCGTGACTCTCCATTTCCAACACTTGAGTTTTTAAAGATATCTGGTGGCATGTTTCACGACTGTGCTACTCACGACATTGATGTTGTACTAAGAATAACAGGTGAGGCTCCGACAACAGTTTATGCTCAAGCAAGCTCATTTGCTCCTGCCATAGCTGATATGGGAGATGTGGATTGTATTACCATTACCTTGAAGTTCCCTAGGGGTACATTAGCAACAATCAATCTAGATCGTACCTCCCCTTATGGATATGACCAACGTCTGGAGGTCATGGGTGACAAAGCTATGATGATCAGTGATAATCCAAAGCCAAGTGCTATCCGAGTGTATAGCCAAGAAGGAGAAAACCTTGATAAATGTCACTATTCATTTCCTCAAAGGTATGCGGAATCGTACAAAAATTCTTTGAATCATTTTCTCAATGTAATTGAAGGTAAAGAAGAGATAGAAGTAACCAAGGAGCAAGTTGTGTTGGCATGCCAAGTTGCTGATGCTTGTGAGCTTTCACACAAAACTCAGCAAGTTGTTAATTTTAAAATTTAGTCTTAAGCGATTTACATGACTACAGACAGTCTATTTTAAGGAACTGGGAGCTCATATTGACACTTAAGGTGGGGTAGGGGTGAGATTGCTCATCTTTTAACCACTGTGACCTGTGATGGATTTCCATAGTCGGTGACGTGTCATATGTGAATTTTGGGTTTATTGTTGGTTCTTCTTGCTTCGAGAATTTTCTCCGGGTTCTCCGGTTTTCCTCTTTTTGTTTGTTTTAATTTTTATTCCTTTCCTTTCCTTTTCTTTCATCGTTGTGAAGAGTACTCCATAAATTCTCAATATCATTTATTCTCTGATGTATTAGTTTTCTACTGTATATTCTTCTTTTGCACGTTACGTCATCGCGGCCATGTTGGTACCATTTAACAAAAGATTTCTCATTAGTATCCATTGTTAACGGTACCACAATGGCCGCCATGTTTTAATGAACAGGATAATTGTACACCACTATTTAAGTAACATTGTAATCTTGATCATCATCATCATCATCAATGTTATCACTATTGTCATAATCATTATCATGTAAAGGAAATACGTCATAGCTATAACTTCGCCCCGAAATTATTCAAAAATTGTTCAACATGCGTAAACTATGTTCCTCCCTTGTTAGAGTCCTGTATACGTGTTTCCTTTACATGCCCTACTTCCTATACGTAGATAAGTATAGTTAGTCTTTAAATACAGGGATTTAAACTTTTATCGTAAAACTCCCTAAAGAAGTGTACAGAGTTAGACGAAACGTGTAGGAGATATAAAATAAAAAGTTTTACAGCCTAGCATCCTAGGTGCTGCTCACTGGTTCCTTTCAAAAAAAAWTTTTCAAAAATTTTCAAAAAAAATTAGTCGACAGTGAGGAAGAAATGGAAACCCGGATATTCCTCTTCCAGTGCAGTATGTATCGCGATCAGAAAGACAGTCTATAGCAAGCTCTCGTTACCAGTCATTGCAATGGCTTGCATAGGGATATGTAGGTATCAGGACAAAGAGTGTTTGTATTTAGGTGTATGAGGGGGGGGGGGGGGTACATTTTTTTTCCTGCTAAAGGAGGGGGGGCACAATGTTTTTGACATTAAGTGACATTAAGTGGGGGGGATCTTGAAATTTTGGAGTATTTTGAAATTTCCTCTGCCCCCCCCACCCCCCTTTACCCCTGCGGTATACATAATGAACGCAGCCTTATTACAATATGTGTGTAGTTTGTCAAGATAATTCTGAAGCCCCTGTGCCGATCTAGAGAACAGGACCAGGTGGTCTGCATATTAGTAAAAGAGAAGTAGTGTGACCACGGTAAATCCGTGGAACTTTAGTAATACTAAATAGCACAATTTCATGCCAATTCCATTGTTTTCTATTGTTTAACTAGCACTATTTTGTATTATTTAGTAATTAGTGTTTCACGGATTTACTGTGGTCACTCTAGGCGGTTCACCATCTAAATTTGCGTCATCAATATTACATGAATTTAATCTGTCAGACGGATCATGAAGATATAAGTTGAATAATGTAGGGATAACCAAACAGCCTTGTTTAACACCGGTATACACAAACTGAAATGCCCTTTTCTAAATCCCCCCCCCCCCCCCCCACCACACACACACACACACACTCAGACCTCAATAGCATAGCTTAACAGTGACATGCACAACCTGTTATACAATGTAGTGAGCTTATGAGAGACTACCCATTCTAGAATTAGCTCTGCTCAGGAGTAAATCAACTGTGTGTCCCAATTACTAGGATCTTCATTGAAGACTACACACAGGAGTTACACCTCCCTCTTACGCCCRGCCCTATGTTACAAAGTTGTTTGATCAGAAAAAGATTTCTTAAGCTTTCCCCTAACAACCA